CCCCACACACACCACCACCACCGCCACCCAAGACAGCCCCCGAAGGCGCCAGACGGGCCAAGGGCATCCCAATACTGTCCAATATGGACCAAGCAGCCCCAATAAGCTTCCAAGAGCACTCAGAGAGCCCCGCAGGAGAACCCAACTAAGCACCACGAACAACAACGAATCCCATAAGGCCCCTGAAGAATTGCTGGGTTTGGGCTTCGTTGGGTGCCCGACAGCCAGAGGAAACTCGAAGCGCATCGAACATAGCTCCAAGACAGCCCATGAGGCCGCAAAGGCGCCCCCCACTTCGGCCCAAGTTGACCCCGCGATCGCTCCACGAGGCCCCCAATAAGCTTCCAAGAGGCCGCCAGGGGGGCCCATGCCCGCCGCAACTCAGACCGCTCGCTGAACTGCAACGGGGCGTGAACTCGACCTCCTTCCCCCCGCGCCGACGAAGACGGGGTCGAAATCGCGGCCCGTCCCAGCTCAGAACGTTCGCTCCACTGCAGCGGGGCGCCATCTCTCCCCCACCGCTTACCGCGGCGGCAAAAAGAAAAAGCCCACCCCGCGCCCAATTGGGAATGTTCAGACCGCTCGATACCACCATTTCATGCATAGCGTTCGTCTCCGTCTCCTGCATACCCCACATGACTATCATCATCACCTTCCCCCGCCTCATCGCACCTGCCGCGTTGATATCGACATGCTCACGAGCCACTCACAAGCCGCGCTGGTGGCGGCGCGCTCCAATGATTTCCCCGCGGCCCCCCGTCGCGAGCTCTGCCTCGCCCGCGCCGCCGCGCCACGTCGAATTCGGCCACCAGCCCCCTCGGCCTCGGCGGGGCGCAGCGCGTCGGCGCGGGCAACAGCGGCGGGCGCCCCTGGAGCAACGCGGCCGCGATCGCAGCCCTGCGCGTTGGGCGCCGCGCCCCGCGGGGCCGCCGCAGTCACCGCCGCCGTCGCGTCTGCCGCGCTCGCCGCCGCCGCCGCCGCCGCAGCCGCCCTCCGCAATCATCGGCCTGGTTCGAAATCCACTATCCCCCCCCCCCCCCCCTCCCCCCCAGGGCCGCGAGGGCGGCCCGTTTTGAAGCGCCTCGTCCCCATCCTCTTCTGGCGGCAGCTGCCCCGCTGCTCCGCCGCCACGCAAAAGCATCTGGTTGGCTGCCGATTGCATGGCGACGCCAGTCTCATCCACAGCCAATGCTTCGCCGAAATCGTCGGCGCAATTGCCCGCCGCCGCGCTGCACTTACCGATCAAGGCCGCCATGTGCATCGAATGCCCGCGCTTCCCGCTCCCCCAGCTCGCGGCCGACTGCCGCCGAAGCCAAGGGCGCGGCCCGCAGAGCCTCACGCCATCCAACTCGCGCCTTCGCAAAGCGGCGAGCGTCTCCGCGCAGCCGCGGGAGTCTCGCAGCCGACGGCGCGCGCGAACGCGCGCCCGCGCCTTGCGCGACCATGCCGCGCCAAGAAGCCCGCGGCTATCGCGCGGGGCGTCCCGCGGAAGAGATCGCGCGCGCCCGCTGCGACAATTCGGCGCAACGCCTCGGGTCGGTTGTGGGCGCAGGCGATGCGCGCGCCATGGCACCACCGCATGTAGAATCTGGAAACGGACGCTGCTAACTGCTAGCCCGCCAACCCGCCAATAATGCGATGTCTGATATTTCGCTTTGTTTTCGAAGAGGATGGCGGCGGTGGCGCCAGGGAACGAGGGCAACTGGGAAATGTGGCGAGGGGGTGGCATGGGGGGGGAGGGAGGGGGGGGGGGGGGGGGGAGGGGCGCGCGCGCAAAGGGGAGAGGGGTGGGGCGGCGAGGGCGAGGTGAGGGGCGGGATGTGAAGGGGTATGGCGAGGTTGATGAGGGGAGGGAGGAAATGGGGGAGGCGGAGGGCTGGAGACGGACCATCCGCGAACGTCTGAAAACGGCGCGCGTAAGGGCGCGCATCGGCATACATAGAGACCCTGACCAGCAACTCCGCAAATGCTTTTGGATCACCAGATCCAAGCGCAACGTGCCCTCGGGAACTCCGCCGCGTCGTCGACCCCCGCGTGGCTCGCGCGCGCGCAAGGCGTACTCGGGCTAGGCGCTAGGCGCGCCGCCGAGCGCTGCGCCCGCGGGCGCCAGGCGTGCCCTGCACGCCTGCAGCAGCGCCGACATGAAGCCGCTCAGAAAGGCGCCCCCGAGCGCAGCGGCGTCGCGCCGACCGCGGTGATCGGTGGCAACATGCGGCGGGCTTGCTGCGCCCCTCGAGGGGGGCGCGATTGTGGGAGGAGGGCGGGGCGAATGGAATGGAGGGCGCGACGGCTCGGAGCGGCGATGGGCAAGCAAGGGCGCAGGGGGTCACGGGGGCAAGGGGTGGATTGGGCAAGGAGTGGGCCAACTAAAACGGGAGCGGGGCGTCCACTCGCAAAGCCAGCACAGAGGAGGGGCATTTGCCCCTCGTCAAACAGCGTCGCCACGCGGGCGGCGGACGACGAGCGCGCGACGACGGGCGACGACGGACGACGACGGACGACGACGGGCGACGACGGACGACGACATACGACGACGGGCGGACCACGACGACGGACGACGGCGGACGACGGGTGGACGGACGGCGACGGACGGGCGGACGACGACGGGCGGACGGACGACGACGGACGGGCGACGACGGGCGACGACGGACGGACGGACGACGACGGACGACGACGGACGACGAAAGACGACGACGACGGACGACGGATCGCGACGACAACGACGGACGACGACGGGCGACGACGGACGGACGACGACGGACGACGACGACGACGACGGCGACAACGACGACGACGACGACGACACGCTCGCCCCCGCGCATTCGCGCGTCGCGCTTCGCCACCCGCATCGTGAACTTCGGCGGGCGAGCGCCCGCCTGGCGGCCGAGGGCGCCGAATGCGTTGCCACGGGCAGGACAAAGGAAGCCCCGCCCGCCCCCCGCCCGCAGGGCGGCCTCTTGCTCGCGCCGCGCGCTCCAGAAATGCGGGCGCACATGCAGCGCGGGGGGCGGGCAATCGGGGCCAAGGGATGGGGTTTGGGGAACGCCGCAGGGGCGGTTCGACGCCGCTCACTGCATAGTTAACGAACGCCGCGCGCCTTACCAGCGCATCCATCGCGCGCCCAAGGGGGCGGGCCCGACCGCCGCGGACCCGAGCGGCCGCCGCGGAAGTCCTCCCCCCCCAACGCGCGCCCCCCCGAGCACCACCCACCCAAAAAAAGAAAAAAGGAATGACGCACCTGATGGTGCACGCCCGCCCCTCGCACCCGACGATGTTCTCGCGCCCCACGGCGACTCCACAACGCAATGCTACGACAATGAAAACAACGCATATACATACCAGGGCTGTCCATGGACAGCCCAGGGGCGCCCCAGGAACATTCAAGCAGCCCAGCTGGCGACTGCGGAAACCCATGGCAGTGCAATCGAATTGGAGACACCTTAGTTGAACAGCATATTTTTGAAACAACGACCACCGCGTCATTGATTTTAGCTTTTCGGCGGGGCCCCTGGGGCCTCACCCCTGCACAGAATACGCAGAGAAGCGTTGCGTGACCATTTCGCATTCCCTCCTCTCCTCCCCCCAATCCTCCTCCCAATCCTCCTCCTTCTCATCATCCTCCCCCTCGCCGTCCTCCTCCTCCTCCTCCTCGTCCTCATCTACATCCAAGTCGTCCTCTTCCTCCTCCTTCTCCTCCTCATATTTCTCCTTCTCATTCTCTTACTCATCCTTCTGCTCGTCATCCGATTCCCCCATCCCCCCCTTGTCATTATCCCATCCCTTCTCCTCAATGCGGCACCAGAGGGCAGAGGACAGCGCGCCTGGGCGCCGTGCATGGGCGGGCTGGCGCGGGCGCGCGGAACGTCAAACTGTTGCCAACAAATATGAAGCTGCGCAGTTATAGATACCGTGGCGCCGCGGTGGTGCCGCGCCGACTGCGCTCGGCGCCCTCGGGCTGTAGGCCCTGGGGGAAAGGGAAGGGGGGGGCGCGGGCGGGCCTGCGGCCGCTGGCGCGCGCGCAATCGAGGCGGCACGTCTATAGTAAATGCGCGCAACGGGTATCTTCCCATGCGGGGATGCCATGCGCATGGGGCGCGGCGCCGCGGGGGGCGGAAACGCGGGCGGACGCATCGGGGCTGCTTCGCGGCTGAAAGGCAACGCGTGTAAGTCCCGACGCGCGCCGCTTTCGACTGCGCAAAAGGCGCGGTCGCGCAAAGAAAATCGCACGCGCGCAGGTATATTGGCAGGCGCCCAACGCGACCCATGCACAACTGCCAACGCGACACAAGATTGGATCATGCGGCAGCGCGGCAATTGTGCAATACGCGCGCGGGTTCGCAGTGGGGCGCGGGCGGCAGTAGATCGCACAATGCAACCCAACATAACGTTCTGGCATGCCCCCCCTTCCCCCCCCCCCCACACACACACGCACACACTCACGCACACACACGCCGCCCCACCCCACCCCACCCCGCCCCACTCACCCAACCCACCCCGCCCCATCCCAAAGTCTTCATGGCCGCACAATGCCGCCTTCACACACACACGCACACACTCACGCACACACACGCCGCCCCACCCCACCCCACCCCGCCCCACTCACCCAACCCACCCCGCCCCATCCCAAAGTCTTCATGGCCGCACAATGCCGCCTTCACGTGGCCGCTGCACCCCGAGGGATACCATTGATGAACAAACGCTCTTCGACCTTATATGGGATTGTGCGTTGCATGTTCGCCGCCCCGTCCCCGACTTGCCACTGTGCCCCCATGACTGATCATGCGCGGCCAATTGCCACTACACACAAAAACGTTGACAAAAAACAAACAAGTATACATAAAGCCAGGGACTGTACCAGGGGCGCCCTAAGAGCGCCCCCAAGGAAACGCTGAGTGACCTCTGCAAACCCGAGCGGGGCGCAGCGCGCGCAAGCGACGCCCGCGCGCCCAACGCTCCCACCCCCACCCCTCACACCCCTCCCCCCGCATGTACCCAAGAGGGCACCTGTGCACCGAGATAGCACATGGGAAAACTCCGTGGATGTCAACAAAGGGCCACAGGAATGCCCAACATGCATCCAATGCGACCCCATCACAGATCCATCAGCCACCCCCCCCCCCCGATGTTTGTTTATTTTCACACTGGTGTGCATTTCTGTTTCGTTAGTGTTTACCTGCGCACATCCTCTGTGCAAATGCCCGAGGCATCATTTCTGGATGGGCTGGCGGGGGTGCGCGAAGGGCCAGGAAGAGGACGCAGGAGGGGTAGACGCAGAGAGGAGGGCAAGGAGGATGCGGAGTGAGTCGCAGCGGGGAGATGCTGGCAATAACGGTGTTTAGTATGATGAGGGGGGCGATGAGGATGGCGAGGATGATGACAGGATCATGATGCAGGGCGGGTGTCGGTGGATGGAGGGGGGAGGCGGCGGCAACGACGATGACGACAACGGGTCAAACGTGCGTGCAACCCAGGCACCTCGTCATCCCACATGGGAGTCACCAGGACTCGAGCGGGGGCGTTCCGCCGTGCGATCCCCGTGGGGCGCGCCCCCAAGCGCGGGGCCCGAAAACGGCCGCAAAATCCCAGACGCGGCTCGGTCGACCCCTGCCGCGGCCGAGACCCCCCCCCGAGATTGCCCAACATAAGCCCGATATGGCTCGAATGCGGCGCACGAGCGTCCCACGATGGCCGAAGATTGCCTCCGACCAACTCGAGGCACCCCAGGCGAGGAAAGGCGAGGAGGGCGGGAAGGAATGCGCCAGGCGAGGAGTGGATGAGGGGCGAGGAGGCGATGGTGGAGAGGGTAGGACGGGAGAGGGCGAGGAAGGAGTCGGCGGGGGAGAGATGCGTCGCGGCGGGGGCGGCCAGAACGGAGGGGGGGGGGCGCGCGCGCGGGGAGGGGGAAAGTTGACGCCGAGAGAGGGAAAGGCAAGGGGGGACGCAAGTGACAGGTCCTTCACCGAACTCGCCCGCGCTGCACGGGAGGGACAGCGCGAGCGCCCCCTGCACGTCCTGCTCCTGGTGGGAGCGCCGCTGCCGCAAGAGGCGCGCGCCCGCGGCCAGGCGCCGCCGTCGCACCTCTGCCACGAGACTGTTGGCGCGGACGGCGCGCGCCACGGCGCCGTCGACGGCGTCGGCAGTGGTCTCGGCGGCGACGATGGCATGATCGTCGACCTCGTAGTCTGCCTCGTCACCAGACAACATCCCCTCGATGGTGTCCAACTCAACATGGCGCGCCTGGGCGCGGAGAGCCCGCTCCGCAGACCGCCTCTGAGCACACGTGAAATACATGGGGCCGTCCTCAGCATCCTGACCAGCCTCCTGTCGCAAACGGGCCCTTGCACCAGGGCTCAGCTCACGGTACTTATTGCTGAAGTCGAGGAAGCTCCAACCCTTGCCAGTGTTTTTGCGCATGAAATAACGAAACAAATGAACCTTCTTCCGCTTCCTGGGGCGCGCGGGAGGCCCATCTTGATCAGCGGGGGCGTCGCCGCAGTGGTCGGCATCACTGCGGCCAGTGGCACGGCTGTCGGATCCGTTGGCACGAACTGGCTTTGAAATGTTGCTCGCATTCAATGTCATGGTGCCCTGCGCCACGCACGTCTCGGCGAGCCTGTACCGCAAAGACCCAAGAATCCAGTCGGCGTTCACTTGATGAAATCCAACCCGCCCTCTGGACGCGTGTGGTCTAAGGCGCTCCCTCTGCCAACCGCCATTATTCCCCTTCGGGGAGGAGTTCACACCTCCCCCCGACGCACCCCCTTGGACCCGGACAGGGGGTGAGAAGGCGGCGAACAGCCAGAGCGCCCAAGATGGCCCAGCACGGCCTCAAGAGCGCCTCGGAAAGCCCAAGATGGTGTCCAACAGTGGCCAATCTAGCTTAAAGCGCCTCAAGGTGGCCCCGACACTGCCCCACGAGGCCACGAGAATGATCCAAGACGGCTCCGAGAAGCCTCCGAGACCTCCAAAGAGTTCCCCAAGAAGTCAAACACATTCCAAAGCCTAGAGAAAACCAACGATATTGGCATTGTCGCCCGTTCGCCCCCGATGGTCAACAAAAGCCTCAATATTGCTCAAATATGGTTCACGAGAGACGTTAGAAAAGCCCAGGGGGCCCACTACGGCCCCAAGAGCGCCCATGAGCGCTCCATGAGCGCCCTAGAATCGCCACAATAATGGATTGTAGATGCTCCAGAGGGGTAAAGCTAACTAGGGGACGCCCCTTATTTGATCGACGCCCTCCAGGATTGCCCCAAGACGCGCACAGGAAGCCCCAAGAGGCCCCATTAGAATACCAAAATGGCTCCAAGATGCCCCCCCCCCCTGAAGCCCCTAGGAGGGCCCCGAGAGATCCCCAAGCGGCCCCAAGAGCCGCCCCCCCAAGGGGCACCAAAGACGCCCAAGAGCCCCCAGGACCGCTAAGAACCCCCCCAGACGCCCCAGGAGGCACCCACGGAGCGCCCAATAGATATCGCAAGAGGCGCAGAGATGCGGCCAAGAGATCTCGGGCCCTTTTGATTGCCCTCCTCCTCCTGCTCCCCGTTTATCAGCATACGCCTTACCTACATCCGCATACTTACTCTCCTTCTCATTATATCCCTTTTCCGTAGCCCCACCCCCTCATCTATCCACCTTGCCTTCGCATTAGCCTCCTCCCTCCATCGCACAATTCGGCAATGTCTATCCTTGCTCCCGCGCTTCCCTGATCACATCAATTCGCCTAGACGTCGTTCCTGGATGGGCTGGTGGTGATACGCGAAGCGTTTTGAATGGCTGCTGATGGGTGTGGTGCGACGCAGCAAGCAGGCGTCTGCGAATTCTGCCATTTGAAAGCTCCTCGTGTACAATGTCAACCTTCGTGTCCCTGGCGATCGACAGCAGAACAGTCAGTGCCTCGCCGCCGAGCAAATCGCCCTTCGTCGGGTACTCAGTGAGAAACCATGCACTGAATGTGTCGAGCATGCAGGGCTTGGTCGCCGCGATCACTATCTCGTCGACGAGCTCCTCGGGGCGTGCCAGGAAGGCGAACAGCTTGTAAGGGAACCGCTGGTGCGGTGCAATCCGCGCCCGCCCGCGTGGGCGGAGCTCAGCCAGCCCGCTGGGCGAGCTTGAGTTGAACGTTGGCTCTGTTGCATTCTCTCACCCCCCTCCCCCGACGGGGGGGAGGGGGAGGGGGTGTAGCGGGGCGGGAGGGATGTGCCGAGGCGGGCTGAAGCGATCAAAGACGCGCGGGGGCAAAGAGGGGGACAGCCGAACCGTGCAGCGGCAAGGTGGCGGGAAGGCTGCGGCTGGATGGATGGATGGGGGAGCGGGGGGAACGACGCTGAACAGGATAAGGAGAATGAAGAGACGACGAGTAGGAGAAGGAAGGATGAGCAGGATGAGAACGGCAAGATAAATTGCCAGGGGTGCCGCAGATGCTTCTCGGTGCCCCTTGGGATATTTCGTTGGCGCTTCTTGGAAGCGTCTCGGGGCGTCTTCGGGATCTCTTGGCGGCCCTGGGGGGGGGGGGGGGGTGCTCCTGGGCGTTTTTCTTGTGTGCGTGGGGGGGGGGGGGGGGGGGGGGGGGGGCTCGTGTGGCCGCTTGGGGTCTCTGTGGGGGCTTCCTGTGGGCAGCGTGGTGCCATCCTGGGGCCATCATGGGACCTCGCGGGGCCCCTGGGGCCTCTTGGGGCGACTTTGGGGCCATCTTGGAGCCTCGCGTGGACTCGTGCACCCGTTGCTGGACGGGCTTGTGGGGCTACGCGAAGCGTCTGGAATTAGGAGGTCGTGCACGATGGCCTTGGACCGAAGAATGAGCCTGAATGCCAGCGCTCCGAAGTAGGTGGTGTACGATCTGGGGTGCAAAGCGCGCCAGTCATCCATCGCATTCATGGCGACGTCCGACTCCGCAATGAACATTGTCTCGAAGTAGTTCTGGGCTGCATTCGTCAGGGCGTACTGTCGGCGCAGGGGGCGCCTCGGGTCGAACTCGAACGTAGCGGCCCCGCCGTCGGCAATGGTTCCCATGCGCTGGTTTAATTCCCACCTGATGCCGCTCTGCTCCATGTATCGCCCGAGGAGCGCCTGCAACTTCGCGACGGCAACGTGCAGGATCGGGTACGCGAACAAGTGGCCGTCCGCAATCAAGCTGACGCCAGCGAGCCTGTACGCCTTGTTCTGTGTCCGAACTGCGGCCACGTCGTTCTCGCCCTGCTTGTCCGTCGTCGCACCAACCGCGTCGTTCTGAGTGATCAGATGCTTCTGGTGCGCGGTGCTGCCAGGCCCCATGTAAGCCGCGCAACTCCTCGCTGATAACCTCCTGGCCATGTCTGGTGTCAACTCGCCCCTGTTGGTAACTCATTTGATGCGCGCCTTCGAACAGATGCCGTGCACTGCGTCTAGGAAGCAAATGTCCGCGAGCGCCTCTGACAAGCCAGTCCAGCTTTTCCTGTTGAACACTCGAAGGGCTCTGGGGGCAATAGCGAACAAGATATCCCAGGACAGCTTCTCGATGACGTGTTTGACTGAGTTGGTTTCGTCCCAGCCCACATAGATCTCGATGTGGTTATGGTTCTGCCAATCCCCCCTGAGAGTGCACTCGAGCGTCGCCCATCGCGCCCGCGCCCCCTTACCCTTTCCAAGGTAGCTCTGAACCACTGCTTTCCGATATGCCGCTGCCTCTTGCGAAGACGCGCCCCGTCGGACATCGGCGTGATCAATCAACGCTTCAACGATGGCCTGCCTGAACTGCGCCATGGCACCAGCGGCTTGCAGGCTCAGAGAAAAACGAATGCCGAAAGTGAAGAACAAGTCGACGATCTGGCAAGAACGCTTGTTGCACGTCGAGACCTTGTGGACGTGGCAGAGCAAGTGAAGGCAGCGCTTGTCCTTTTTTTCTCTTCTCGAACTCGACTCGGATGTTGGAGGATGCGGCGTCCGACATGGCAACCCTGATCTTGTGCTTGAACTTGGTTGGGGCCATGCTCAGGTGCTCGACGGAGCCAAGCGCTTTGTTGATGACGTTCGAGGTGGTGCTCTCAAGGTTCGATAGCGAGTTCAGCGTCTTCACCCTGAACAGATAATATGTCGGACCGATTCTGATCAACATTGATGCCCATCGCGTGACCTGGAATATCTTGGAAACCTGCGTGTCCTTCACGCGGATGTGGGGCCTGGAAGCCCTGATCTGGCCATAACCGTCGATGCCGTCGCCGTCTCCACCCGCTCCGCCTACGTCCTCGATCGACTCCATGTAGCTGTGCAGCGGTAGCAGCACTGCATCCTCACTTTGCACGGCTCCAGTCTTCAACGGCGTCTCGTCGTAGGCCTCGAACATCGCGTACATCACCAGGTTAACGTCTGGGATAGTGGTGAGCTTCATCTCGAGTTGGCCTCTGAGCCACCTGTCCATCATGAGAGTAAGCTCTGCGAGGCGTTCCTTCACTGTCCATGCGTGTGAGTGGTGCGACAAGTTGATGCCATGCAGCATGGCCTTGGTGCTCGAGACCCCCTGCTGAGAAAGTATCCGTTCCGCTCGGGCGCACAATTCGTCCGACTGGAAGTCTGTGGAAACCGCCGCATCGAACAATGCTCCGAACATCTGGTGGTCGACAACGACGTCTGCGTGAACGGGGAGCAGCGCATGGCACGCAGGGATGGTCGCGCCGACGGGATCCGCACCAGGGTCGTGGACGGGATCCGCACCAGGGTCGTGCACGGGATCCGCACCAGGGTCGACGGGATCCGCACCAGGGAAGACGGGATCCGCACCAGGGAAGACGGGATCCGCTCCGAAGCGCTGCTGGTACCTGTCGCCCCAGCCGTCGGACATGAACTCTGATATGGAGGGCGCCCCGCAGGGCGAACTGATACGGAGGCCGCGCGACGGGCGGGCGTGAAGAGCTGCACACAGCAGGGATATGAACATCATCGTATGAAATGCCCTCGGCGAAGACTCTCGAGCCAGGGGGGCTTCGGGGGGTGCACGGGGCGTCGGGGCCCTGAGCGAGAACGCAAACGTGGATTAGGGGAGTGCCCAATGGGGGCGCGAAACTTTTGGAGGGCGCGCCTTCCGTGGAACTCCATATGGGGCCCTTCGGTGGAACTTCCCATGAGGCCACGGAGCGTGTGATGGGGTCACCGTTGTGGAGACTGAGGGACATGCATGCGGGATTTCCCACTGCGGCCTTCGGCGGAGGTCCCTATAGAGTCACGAAACGTGTGAAGGGCTGTGCCAAAGGACAGGGGGCATGCTGGATTTCCCGCTGGGGCCCTCGGAAGAGTTCCCTTTGGGGCCACGAAGCGTGTGCGTGGGCGGCGGCGGCGGCGGCGGCGGCAGTGGTGCGCGGCGGCGGCGGCGGCGGCGGCGGCACGCGTCGTGCGCGTCGCGGCGGGGCGGCGGCGGGGGCGGCGCGGGGGCGGCGGGGGCGTCGCGCGCGCGCCGCGCCGCTCCCAGCTGCCCCCCGCTCGCTCGCTCCCCGCTTGTCCTCCTTTCTCCTCCTTCACCTCCCCCCTTCCTCCTTCCTCCTGTCTCATCCTTCCTTCATCCGTTATATGTTTGTTCCTGCGCACGTTCCCCATTTTGTCGTAAGCCTCCTTTCCTCATTCTTTGCTGCTCCCCTTCCTCTTGTTTGGAAGCCACGAATGGCAACGCTAGCTAGTTCCGAAAAGGAGAACTACAAAAAAATCCCCCCGAACCGCCGTCCGAAAAAAAAGCCCAATTTTCTATGTTAACATAGAAGCGGCCCTTGCCCGAAACATGCCCGAATTCTGGGTTTCCTCAAGTTCACACCATTATGCTTGTGGCCGCGGTCTCAAGCGTCGACCCAGGAATGGCACTCTTCTCCGGCAGGAACACCCCACCGCGAGAACGCTCGCGCGGCCCATTGACCTTGGAAGGTTCCAGAGGGAGGGCCCCGTGGCCCCGCGAGGTGGGATCGCGGTCTGGTCTCCGCAACGCGGCCCGGAGAGACGTGCTATCCAGCCTCTTCCTCCAGCTCCCAGCTTGCAGCACGCCTGACGGCGCAATCGATGTCCAGGTTCCGCTTGTGGGCAACGCCCTCACCCCCTGGTTGATCCGCCCCCTGGAGTGGCGACCGCAAGCGAGAAGCTAACCTCGGTGCCCCGACGATGGACCTGGATGCTGATGTCGTCGTGCTCGTCAAGAAACAAAACGTAAACACCGACGGTCCCGACGTACCTCGGCCTTGGGAGTAGAGTCTCGTCGTCGTGCGTCGGCGTCTCCATGACTGCCTCCTTGGCCGCGTCGTCGGCGACGTCTCCTTCGGCGTGAGGGCGTTGTGCCGACGCGGAGGCAGCAGCGGGTCGCTTGGTCCCTCTCGTTGCCTGAGCTTCGCCTGCAGCAAGCTCGGGAGGCGGCTCTGGCCCCTCGGATGGCTGCTATTCCTGTGAGTTTGCCATTGCATCGGCCAAGAGCTTCTTCTCTGGGCATCCTTCGCAAGGCGTCTCAGACCGCCGCATGAAGTCGCCAGCGGAGTCGTCACCAGATGCTGCGCCAAGTGGTCCGCCACTGGTATATTCCTCCAGCTCGTCGTCGCCCTCGTTCGCGCCCGCGCCCTCGACGTCCTCGGCCTGCCGGGCCCAGCGCTTGATCTTCCGGCTCTGGCGGCGCATTCGATGCTTGCCCCTTCTTGCTCTGATAGCCTGCGCAGTCAAGGGTCATGTCTGCTTACTCCAGGGCGCGCGGCCTGAGTTCTTCCCGGCAATTTCTCGATGTCCTCTCGGGGCGCCCGCCGCCCCCCACGCCCGCCGCCGCGCTGAAGTTGCCCCTCGTCCATCGGGCCGCGCCTGGCCTTGTGGAGTCGCACACGCAGCTGCCTCTTGAAGTAGCGGTTCCAGGAAGCCCAGGTGCGGAATTCATAACAAGAAAACTGCGCGAACTGGTTCATTCTGGCACGCTGGATGCGTTGCATCTCCGAGCGCACCGCGAACTTGTAGAGGAAGGTCGGCCGCCCCTCAACGTAGTTGGCCTTATCCGCAGCCTCGGCGTCGAACGCCCCTGCGTCTTTGCGCTCTCAAATTGACGTGCTTGATCAACGCCATCGTGGTCTGATGCAGCTCGAGGTACCGCTGCAGCTTGACCCGTTGAATCTCAGCTCGGCCGCGCCCCCCCCCCCTGCAACTGGGCGATCCTCGCCCGACGGCACACCGAACCACCTTCCGCGTCATGCATCCGCATAATCACCTGCTCCAAGCGGCGCACCTCCGGCTCGAGGTTTGGGTCGCGGCCATTAAGAATCCAATGTCGCGCTTTGAAGCGATGGATATGTGGCGCCGAATCGGATGGCATCCACTCCCTCGGAGCGGGCTCATGAAACTCGAGGCGGTTGACGTACTCCTCGAGGGTCCTGTTGCCCAGGTCCATTTGACGCGCCCCCATCGCCTTCTCGCCTCGGCGCGGCATGATCGTTCCACCCAACTTCTGCAACTTCTCATCTCTGAGCTGCTCGGCCTCGGTTGACAGGCCCTCCTCGTCGACGTCCATGGGCATCAGGTTCACGACATCGCTGTCGCCGCCGCCCTGGACGATGATGCCTCGACCCTCGGAATCAAGGCGGCCCAGGGAGCGCGGCCCCTGCAGGGTGGTGACCCTGCGTCGCTCGCCACGCAGCACCCCGTCGACTTCCGCAGTCCCCGCGCCGCCCAGGCCCGCGGGATCTCGGAAGCTCGCGTCTGGGCGAGTCTCCTCCAGCGCCCCCGAAGGAAGCCCCGGGGTCTCTCGCGCACCTCATCTGCGCCCCTTTCCTCTTGAAGTTCGCGAGAGCGAGACTCGCAGGGATGATCTTCAGGAGGCGCAGCTGGCGCTGAGCCCCCAGAGGTCGAGGCGACAGCCTGACTCATAGAACTTTGAGGACCAGCCAGTCATCGGCCGCCGCAGCCGAGGAGCCACCCGAACTGACCTCCTTTTCGCCCACCTGGTCATCGCATCCATCGCAGTCGCGAAAAGCGCCGCCCACGGGGTCGCCGTCGAAGTCGACCCGCTGGTCGTCGAGCAGAGGAGCCAGGGATCCAGGCGCCTGACCCCCCGGGCGGCAGGGCCCCGCAGGCAGGGGAGATCCCAGCCACAAGGCCAAAGACGCAAGCTGCAAGCGGCGATATCTCATGACATGCTGACGCATCCACTGCACGACGAGGGCAATACAAGAAATCACATCGAAATCGCTGAGTGGGCAACAGACAGGCCGAGTAGAAGGGGTGGAACGCTTCAGAGACGCACGAGAAAATGCAGCGTTCGACGTAGGAGTCTTCTTCGAAATCTTCGGTCTCGGATTGCGTTTCGCGGTAGCCAGCCGACATGTTCTTCGCAGTTCCATGTCCTCTTCTTCTCCAGAAATGCTTAATTTAGTCGTATGCACACAAGTCATAATATAAGATAGGTTGCGCGTTTCCGCGCAACTTCGTCAAACCGTCCGCTGGGCGATGTTCGTGCGGAAACCAACCTCGCTGACCACCGAGGTTCTCCCGGGAGTCCCGAATCGCCGCAATACCTAGGGCCGCTCGCTTCTCGGTCGAGGCGAACTGTTCCCAATTGGTACACTCGCACGAATATTTCGAGTCGGTCGTGGCAACGATGTCCAGGCCGGGAGTTTGCCCCACGATCGTCGCCACTCGAATTTCTTGGTTCATGGCGCGTCGGTCTCGGAGCTCGCATCGGCAATCTTTCACCATAGAAAACCACGAAATATCCCACTCGGCCTCGGCCAGACCCTCGGACGTGGCGTTGGTCCCCACCGCTAAGGTAGAGCTCCCAGCGCGCTCAGTCTTGCGGGAACGTCAGGCAAGAATACTGACGCAAGCTTCCTCTCCCAACAAGAGGTCTTTTGTCTGCGGCGCAAATCACGTTACCTGCCCGAAATCGACACTGTCCAACACCCTCGAAGTCCAGACCCGAGTCGCACAGAGCGACCAGGCGGAGACGAGTAAAGGGCACGGATCTGCTGGCGATCGTGGCTTGGCGTCCTCGAGGCACCGCAAGGCAGCATGTGCCATTTGCCTCGAATGGATTTTTTACCTCGGAGTTGGGCAGGGTGCCGCTGAGGAGAGATGCGTCCCCCGAGCCGTCGGGCATGCCTTCTCGGCACGTCCAAGTGAGTTCCCCACGCAAGCCACGCATAGCTGCAATCTCCTCTGGCGCAGCTGGTAGTCCAGGGTTCTTGCAGCGCCCCCACGGGAGACTGAGAGGTCAAGCTCGTTCTGCAATATACCTCGCCATAGACATGGCGAGTTCTGGGAGAACGCGTTTCACGGGCGCTAGCCTTGGGAACATTCGGCGGCGCGTTTCGAACAGGGGGGGGGGCCCTCCCCAACACTCAGCGCCGTCGATCAAACCCAGCGGGACTGGCCTTCCCCACCAACCCCCCGCCTCCCGAACCCCCCCCCCCCTCGGCGCCGGCGCCAGCGCTGGCGGCCGCCAGCAGCGCCGACGGCGTGGACGCAGCGACGATGACCAGAGGCAGCCCAAGGGAGGGTGGGGGAGGGGTTGAAACCCCTCCCCCTCCCCCTAGCGCGGGGGGGGGGGGTTGAACCCCCCTCCCCCTGGAGCTGGCGCCGGCGCTGGCGGCTGCCATCAGCGCCGGCGCTGGCGCCGGCGACGGCGGGGGCGCAGCGACGATTACCACCACTACCACCACCACCACCACCACAGCCACCAGCACAACCACCACCACCACCACCACAACTCACCATCAGAACCACCACCACCACGAAAACCCACCATCACTACCACCACCACCACCACAATCTACCACACCACCACCACCACCACCACCACCGCCACAACCACCACCACTACCAGCAGCACAACCCACCGCC